CTGATGATGACAAAACCTTGTCAAAACGTTGTACATTTGCTGTTATATTAAAGTTTTTCTTCATTACCCATTCAAGCCGTCTCCAGCCATTATTAGTCTCAAAGTGGGTTCCTCGTCATCGAATTTGACAAGAAAATAGTTTTAAACCAAAACTATTACTCTGCCACCACAAATTATTAATATCGGAAACGATGAGAAAATATCGCCGATTTCTATATTTCAGAGATTAACGGTAGTTTAATATAATACTTGTTAATTATCATAATAAAAGTTAGAAACCCATGAAAAATTAAGATGCTGCATAAATTTGTTTCATAATTATATTGCTCCTCTTTTATAAGTAAAGCTCAATTTCTTGGATTATTTTTAGGTTTCAGAAAGTATTCATAAAGCCAAAATGTATTTTATCTATTACAACTTAGCATGATTTTTTATAATCTAACAGTTTATTTTTGCTCGCGTGTTAACTATCATTGCAAATGCGAAGGATAAGTGGTTGAATTAAACGAGTTTTGAAATCATGCTCCGAACTCAAACAATTTGCAACCATAAATTATATACTTTATACTTCGTTGCCTAGAGTTTGTCATGAAAAATAATAAGGAATAACTTTAGAAATAATTCCGCAAATATCTTATTAAGATTTTGTTACCCAGTTCGAGCATGTGTTGGTTAGGTTTCACAGCATTTTTTATTTTGTTTTTTGTTTTTAACAGCTGAAAAGTGCAATACGCACATTTACTGCCCAAGTAAAATCAACACTTACTCCGCTTGAGAATTTATGTCTAAAACCTGAAGCGGCAACTTGGGCGAAGAACTGAATAACTTTCTTGGTGTTCTCTGTTTTTCCAGCACCCGACTCACCGCTGAAGATGAAGACGACAAATGGACAAGGATGACACAGAGGAACATGGGAGTTTTGTACACATTTTCAAGCAAATTATACACATTATATCGATAGTAAAAGGAATGATTAACAATTTTAATAGACCTACATTTAATTAATATATCACAAACAAAGTATTAACAATGTCATTTGAATAGTTTAAATATAATAAACTAGAAACAGGAATATTTATTAAAGAGCCGATGAATTACTTTCATCCAATGACAACCTTCAACAATCTACACTTCTGTTGAAAATGTGTTTAATTTTTTTTTAGTATATGTTTCATATCATTTTACGTTTCATTTTACGCTTTAATTTTTTGCATAATAAAAAACACTAGTACAAATGAAATACAAAGTTAAATTTGCATGATATCTTTGCTAGATGCCTTTACCAGTTGGTATCAGAAAAATGTCATTTATCAAAAATAACAAGCTACTCACGTGATCAACATGGATTGGTTTTCTCGATCTGTGAATAAAAACAAACATACTGTAGCTTTTTAACTTGTCGATAAAAGTTAAAACAGGGTATTCAAGTTTTATTTTTGACCTATAACAGAATTGAAAGTTGTACAAAGTAAAAGTTTTATAGACATACTACAAAGGCTTGTTTTCTTCCTCTTTAAACGCAAAGCTGCCCAATGAGCTATCTTCACAGTGCTAAGCGCAAGTATCAAACCCTACATTGTGGCGTTATAAGTCCTCAAGCTTACAGCTGAACCACCAGGGAGCAATCGTAGAGGTAAAACTAACACAAGGTACAATATATGTCATATTCTATTGTATTTAACGTGTATATTAATCATTATTGAGTAGGTTGAAAAACATATCTTATTCAAACTAAAGTTAGTGTTATAAAACTTCACATTTGATGTATCATTAAACGCGTATATCCTATATTTTCTATTGAAATGACCAATGAACATTCCAAGTGGTACTGATAAGTGCAAAATTTAGAGTTACAGTCTAGTTGTTTCTTAAATAACAAGATTTTATCGTTTTTGGGTAGATGTACATAATATAGTTGATTTAAACTTCCTGTAATGTTTCTAACAGCAAAAGAAACAGAAAACTTAGAACACTTTTCCAGAAACTTTCGAAGAACTATAATTTTAATCCGTCATATATAGAAGACACCAAAGTGTGCATAATATTAGCTAATTTATTCCTCTCTTTTTTTTAACACTTACTTCTTTCAAGTTTCAATAATTTCAAATAATTAAATTTTTGCAAATAGTAGTCCTATTATTTCATCTTAAAAAAATGTAATAAATACTCTGTATTGAAATACGAGCCAATTATGGCATCAGGCCAAATACAAATATTTGGCTCTGAGCCCTCACGGAGTCCGAAGAATGTGCTAAAAATAAAAACGACGGAAAACTGGCATAAACGTAGGATTAAGTGTATCACACCATATAAGGTACTGAGACAAACTACATCCAACTTTAGTGTAACACGTTATTTCCACCCGTAAACTGTCACCTTCCTTGTAGAAAGAGTTAAGCAATTTTTGTCTGTTTTCGTAATACTAGAGTTGTAGATCAGTTATTGTCATACATATGAACATATTTAGGATACTGTAAACTATAAATTAGTTGAAGTTTAAACAGAAGCACAGGAAACAGGTTATGCAGTTGTGTGAAAAAGTTATTTATTTAGCCGTTGAATGATTAACTTCGACATTTTAGAACTTTTTTTCATTGGTTTTATCTGTGAAGAAAAGAGACCACTTTTCTAATAATGCCAAAGAATTTCATCTGTCAACAATGAGTAAACTTAACAGTATATTTGAAGTACGTGCAAGTTTTTATAAATGCGTAATTTTGCCTTTATAACCAGTTGCTCGTTTAAACTTTTGTAATGAAAACTGAACGGCTTGAAAAACTAGATAAGCAAATCCTATGATATTGTAATTTTTCTAATTACCAAAAGTTGGCATTTTTTATAAAAACTTAAGTCTAGTTTGTTCTTGGATCTACCATATGGCACTGAGTTAGAGCTGCTTCGAATAATGTAACCACTCAATAGTAACCCTGAATACGAGAAAATCAACATTAATATTAAATATTCTTAAGATATTTATATAGATATAGATTACTTGTGGTGAATAAAGTACATTACAAAATTAACACCTACGTTCCATAATACTAGAAATGAGTGTGTGGACAAATATTTTTTTAAAGTAGGTTATTGTAAAGAAAATCTTAAAGCTATAAATTAAAAACAAGGAAAAACTCAGAAGCAAAAATATTTATCGAGATTAGGCTGAACAAAGGAAAAATAAATATTTCAAAGAGAATGATTGTGTAAGTTGAAAGTTGTAAAACTAAAGATAGCATCATAGAAAAAATCAAATGGAAAGGAAACAAATTACGGAAGATTAGGGTTGATGTTACAAGTTTAAAAATATAATATTTGGTATTTGGGACCTAGATAAATAGAGATAAAGTTTGACGGTTTCAAACAATGTTTTTCTAGAAAGTAGCGAGCGCTATTATGAGTTGGGAGATTGAAAGATAATTTAATGGTTTTAAGGAATATAGTTTGAAATGTGAATTAAAATCTTTAAAAAACTATTTTCTGAGAATTGTTGCAGGCATACATTGCATATCTAAACAATGCATTATTCCAAGGCCACAGATATACATTAAAACATTGAAAAATAAAATACAATCTTCTAATTTCAATGGTACTCATTTTGCGATAGCTAGCACAGAACAAAGTCATTAAAAATTGATACATAAGTGAGATTGGAAGGTTTGAAAAGGTAAAAACATAGAAAAACACATTTTTTTTAAAGTTATTATAAGAAAAAAGAATTACATATATCAGTTTTGTATATTTTGCTAAAGGAAATATCATTGAGTTTTCACTATGTAAATAAAAATGTTGACTTTCTATGAAATATTTTGGTGGTAAGGCAATATTTTTTAATGCAACAAAATAAAGTTTGCGAAAAAACCCTACAGGAAAAAGATATAAAATAAAATGTTATAGTTTAGTGTACGATGAATGATAATGAAAAATTCGATTGCTTACTCTGCAACATATCGTTATAAGCACCATCAGACACGGAAAAGATATGAGGAGGCATTTCACTTCTTCTCTTGCCCTTGTACATCTGGACAACCCGGTTGGTGTAGATAGGAAAACGTTTGTAGGGATTGATGGCAACACAGAATAATCCTGAATAAGTCTGTGTAAAACACAACAAGAATTGTGATGAAGTTCAATACTTTTTAATAAGAGCCTCGCGAGAACTTCAGTGATACTGCATTCTACCTCATTACTAATTTTACTAAATGTATTCATTTTACTAGTAGTTGATCAACTAGTGTAAAAATTGTATTTTGCGTTTCAAAATATGTAAAATATGACCATACATTTTATTAGTTCAACCATTTTCGTAAAATTAAAAATATTTATTCCGATTATGAATTATAAACAAAAGATACAAACTTATATTTTAGATTAGTCACTAAACTTGTTGTTTTAAGAAACGTAAACAGCTATAATTATCAATTTTTGAAATGTTTGTTCATTTTACAACAACAAAGCAACAACAGAATATTTATAAAAATAAACCAATCTTGAATTAAAACATAAAATTATCATTTTATTCTGAAAATTGGGTATGAGCTATATCAAAGGGTAATTTGTATAAATCAATAATCAACAAAACTTTGGTGAACAATAGATAAAGCTATTATTTTATAAACAAAGATGTAGGTTTATATTACATTGATTATGTAATTTTAATTAAGCGTTAGTTTCTAAACTACTTAGTTTAAACAAAAAGTTTTATTATGTAGTTTTGTGATAAGGAAAGTAATGTGTAAATATTTTGCTCTTTGATACAGCATTTTCTATATTAGTAGTTTCAAACATTAGGGTCAAAACTAACTAAACTACATACGTTAGTATATATAATGTCTCTCTTACATATTTTAAAATACAAAAGCAACATGATAACATATTTAGGTGAATGGATAGAGCCCTTTAGGCTCAAAGGAGTAACATAAAAGTAGCTTAACTACTAAAGCATCAATATTTTAATACTTCCAGAAGTTTTATGAATATAATAAAAAACGAACGACATCATTTAGTGAAGCAGAAATAACAATATATTTAAGTAAATGTAAACAGCAAGAACACTATCAAATAAATTAAGTTCATTTTCAAAACGCCAGGATATATTTATTAATAGTAAGACTCACATTAAGGTAGAATTTGTTTGTTTTTTTTATATCAAAGATTAATTAATTACTATAATTATTGTATAGGGGTCCTATGAAATATTTAAGGTAAATGATCAATAATTTTAAGTCGAAAACATTTGATAAAGTCTAAAAAGTTTATCATAGTTGAATTTTAGAGATAAATAAAAAGTGACATTCTTTCAAGTTAAAAAGCTCTAATAAAATCAGAAATCAATTCATTTAACTATAATCTCTTTCTATTTTAGTCGCCATGGTCAGATTGCTTGTAGCCTACGAAAAACTTTTTCCCGTTTTCTTGTCGTGGATCGTGGCTTCTTCTGTAGATTGGTTTCAGTGGCGAAAAGCAAAGAAGCATTATGTTTTAATGTGAACTGAATGGAAATAAACAAGCGCAAAGCAGAGCATTTACTGTGTGAATTACGTGAATTATTAGGAGGCTTTATAATAAAATACCAAGAATCATATTGCAGTGCCAAGGATAGAAATAAAATCGTAAATCATATTATAATAATAATAATTAGTTGCAGCTAATGATGGGCACATTTATTTTGTCCCTAACAAAAGATGTAATTTTTTAATTATTATCTTGATAACGAAAATTAATTTTTATGTTATATATTATATTACGAGATTGTTCCTAAAGCACCTTTATGTTAATATATTTGTACAAATTTTAGTCGATTTCAATAATATGTGAGCAATTTAAGGACTTAGATGTATAACGTGAAAGTAAAATATTAGGTACTCTGCACAAAATTGTTTTCTATTACCTGTATTCTCCATTAAAAGCTTAAATCAGTCAGTAATAAATCGAAAATGGTGAGGATTTAAACAAAATGATAATTGATAAACCAGATTATTTGACTTATTTCTTAAAATAATGTATTTGTTAACAACTTTTAATAGGTTTTATTCTGATTTAGAGATTAATTATTTAAAAAAAAAATATTGTATTCAATAGAACGAATTTAACAAACGTATAAATGAATGAAGTGTTTTTAAGACGCATATGTATATAACGTTAGTGTCTGGTACGATATATAACGTTATTGTCTGGTACGATATATAACGTTATTGTCTGGTACGATATATACCGTTAGTGTCTGGTACGAAGCTTATGGTAGGAGAAGAAGATCGTATCTCTGCAACAGAGATGGCTGTATTGGGATTAATTGAAATGTACTGAAAAATGTAGAATGAGGATAAAAACAACAATTATTAGGCCATTCTATTTGATATTTTTTGGTATTCAATCTACAAATAACCAGTTAGGATTAGAAATTCTTTAACATTTTATTATGTTCTTGAGGTTAACTGCAATAAGCTAGACTACCATGTAAGAGAAAATAGAACTAATTCATTGATGGTTTGGACTAATTTTTTTATGTATATTCTCTGCTCGAGAATATTGCCACTCTTTCATAAATTGATATCAGCAAAGTCTACAACACGTTACTTTGTAGATGCTTATGATTCGAAGTAGAAACATTCTGTAGCTCATTCTCATTGGCACAATATACCAAAATTATGTGAAACTTTCTTCACAATGTTGTCAATATATACATATATTAGTTTGTAAGTTTTATTCAGAATGTTCTTACTTACAGAACCATGTTAGAGCGGCTGAATAACCAGAAGGAAATAATACTTAAAAGAACGGCTAATTAAAAAGACATTTTTAAAGCCAAAATTATTAGAAATCAAGTAAAAGTGAAAAAGAAATATACAGGCACAACCATAAAATAAAGTAAAAAATACAAGCATACATATCTAAAGCAAACGATAACATGCAATTAATAAATATGGGCAAACAGCAGGTTACCGCCGATCCTTTTTGCGTTACCCAAATACTTACGTAGATAAGCTTAGAGTTGTAGCGTTCTTTCAGGTTGTACAACACACTAGCGTCGTTCAGGTAAGTTAAGTTTGACATGTCCTCGGTCTTTTCGAATTTGGGGGGATTTACTTGTTGTAGTTGTTCCTTTTTAATTTGTCGCTACATAGGAAATCGTTTCAAGGGTTGGAAATTGGGAAATGGGGTTTTTTGGGAAAGGTGGGAATTAAAATAAAAAAGATAAAACAGATTATTCAACTTGTTTTTTATAAAATCTAAGCTAAAACTAATCACTTCATAATAACATTTCCTTCTATATATACTTACGTAAATCATTTTAGAATAATATCGGTCTTTGAGATTATGCAAAACACTAGCATTGTTCAAATATGTAAGGGAAGACATATCCTCGCATTTTTCGAATTTTGGAGGGTTCACTTGCTGAAGTACATCTTTTCTGAGCACTCTCTGTGAGAAAATGGGTCAGTTTAAAGATCTACATGTACAACAGAAACCTTTCCTCCAGATTTGATTAGGTCTTCCTTATTCATGAAAGTACTAGAACACTTAAACAAAATGAAAGATCGTAGGGCTGGAATTATTGTAAACTATCTTTGTCTTGGTTCTTTAGAAGGACTACGTTTAAAAATCTATCTATGCTAAAGCCCTTTTCAGGTCAGAAAGCATTCATCAGAAAGTTCGAAACGTCATCAAACCTCAAGAACTAAATGATGAAAAGTATATAACAATTTCAACTTGATAATGTGTACTCTTGCTAAATTTCTACATAACAAAATAATAACTCTTCGATAAAAAATTTTGAAAGCTTCTTGTAATAATGGCAATAACTTTTAATTTATCTATTTGTTATGGAAAAAAATGTTGATTTCGTAAAAAAAATGTGATAATGTAGAGTAACTTTACCCTCATACTTTGTCGTAATAATATTGCTGTAATCTGTTAAATTTATGCTTGTATGAATCTCATAGTTAACACTAATGCCAACTTTTTTAGTTTTCTTAATTATTATAGTTACCAATGAAGTTAATTTTTAAACATAACGTCAAAAACATGTAAAAGACAAATTGAAATTATTTTGTATTTACATGAATTTAAAATAAAATAAGACGCTCTTTATTTTTTACTCATACATTGTTGACTTAATCAAAGTTTTTCTCCGAGTGGTTTATATAAATTCACAGATCAGATAATAATTACAATCAAATTATTAAGGACACGAATTATAGCGTCAAGTCGTTGTTACTCAGACTATTTCGTTTTATAATTAGCCCTAATTTTTACTTATTTTTAACACAATTCAACGTTTGCAAAAAACAAAAAAGAAACGTTACTTGTTTACATACAAAATAGCTTACCGAAATATATCGAAACATTCTCTATAGATAATAAAATATTTCAAATAAAAAATAAGTAGATAGCTTACCTCACCTCCGGGACAGTCAACAGTCACTGTGTCACCTTTTGTACTCACTATGTTTCCGAGTATGAATCCTTCTTTCTCATCAGGAACCCAGACCATCTTTTTGCCATCGTAAGGCTTAGTCTGGTCTTTTCGTTTTTGTTCCAGAGAGACGAACAAGAAATCAGTGGGATCTGGATCTTCTTCCTGTACCATCGTGCTGAAGTTGTAGCTCAGTTACGATCAGAAGTAACAGCAGTTAGGATCAACTAGGCCTAATTAGGCTTAACAAACAAGCACAAAAGTACAGAGCAGCCCTGGAGCTTTCCTGTAGGTAAATAAAAATTAAGATGAGATCATCAACGATAACTTCTAATAAATGTGAGATAGAGGGTACTGGTTTGTTTAAGCAATTAATAACGCATTTTGTTGGACATGAAATTGACAGAAAACATTGATGTTCGTGCTTAAGCTCTTCAAATGTTTATTGAAATTACATAATAATAGAAAACTAATAACTATCCAACTAATATCTATAAGAGGAAAACAGGAAAAGGTGACTTCGTTTTACAATTTTCTTATTATAAGCTTGTTTGTTTGTTTTTGAATTTCGCGCAAACCTACACGAGGGCTATCTGCGCTAGCCGTCCCTAATTTAGCAGTGTAAGACTAGAGGGAAGGCAGCTAGTCATCACCACCCACCGCCAACTCTTGGGCTACTCTTTTACCAGCGAATAGTGAGATTGACCGTTACATTATAACGCCCCCACGACTGAAAGGGCGAGCATGTTTGGTGTGACGGGGATTCGAACCCGCGACCCTCAGATTGCGAGTCGAATGCCCTAACCACCTGGCCATGCCGGGCCATATGTTATAAGCTAAATTGGAAAGTGCGTTTAAAACATTCTACACTGAAAACTGCGTATCAGTACAAGAAAGTTTGCAAAAAATGTCCTCATGCCGAAGGAATCGAACAGAGACTATATCTCAGAGCAATATTAAATAAAACCATATTTTGTTTTCATAAAAATCTTTTTTAAACAAATGAAAATGCTGCTGCCAAAAATTTAAGATTTACAAAGTAATCATTTCAGCTAAGTATACAATTTTTTTATAATGCATTAAAGCAGAATTAACGCAAACAGGTTCCTTGCAAATTTCAGTTAACCTATAAGAATCAACTCTAAAAAGAAAAATATAAATCTATTGAAAGAAAGAAGTATGATGAATACGAATATGATATCCTTTCATGATGAATATCAGTAAAAATTCATACCAACCAATCATAATGATAATCTTAAAAAAAACTACTACAGCGATTATCTTTATAATCTTTATCCAACTTTTAGGTACTTTATCCAACTTCTAACGTTTTCATCATCTTAGCTGTTATTATGAGATAAAGCTAAGTATTCCACAATGCATACACTAAAGAGTAAATAAAGATCCAACCTCCTGCACTTACGTTCAAAAGCTGTCCCAGATCATACAGATTGTGTCAAGCCTTTTAAACCACTGCAATCGGATATCGGTCTAAATCACTTTAGTAACGTAATGTAAAACATAACGTGATTGGCTTTTGCATTGATCTGGGAGTGACTGTTTGCGGTTTTGAAGCAACCATGTCTTGCCATACAAGTCTTCCAATGGCTGAAATGACGTATTCTCATTGCTCCATTTTTGGGTTAGAAAATGTTAAATACTTACTCATAAAATCTGTATTTCAATACATCCCTCTCCGTCTTTCTATGGAATGGTCCCTCGTCTTTTCTGTGCCCTATCGAAAACGAATATCTAAAAATAAATCATTACGCATAAGGCTTCAGAGCTGCTGCTACCAATATAGTTATCTTAAAGCACTTGGACAAATACTGGGCAGTAATTCTTCCAATCTTGAACAGTCGTAACTTGACATTATAAAACGTTTAAAGATCAACATTTCTAGATATTTTTTCTAATTATCTTTTCTATATCATTGTCAAGTTTATAAAAACAAATTGTGGAACTGTCTATAAAATAATATCAGCATATTTTCAGTTAAGAAGAATAAAAAGGGTATTTTATAGAATCAAGTGAGTAATATATATTTCGTGAGAGAAATTCTGTAATTATTGTCTCAAATTTTAAGAAACGTAAAACATATGTAATATTTGTAAAATATACGAAATATTCAGTTTTTGATGGCAAATTATCTTAAGTCTACTGTTATGGCTATTTGATATTTTTATATTCGATAAAATAATAAAATATTATATACCCTATTTTGAAACTGAAAAGCTAATAAAAATAAACGGCAGTGTTTCACTTCTGAACTTCTTCTTCACTGACAAGCCAGCATCCATCATTTTACTCGAGACCTAATCGTTACACTGTACAGTATAATAGTGTATAATGGGTTAGAGTATTATCTCAAACATTCTATTGTACTTATTTGTTTGTTGTTAAATACGATGATATAGAACTGTATATCTGTACTTTGCCTACGACTGGGATAGAATATTGGGTTTTAGTTACAAACCCTTGCTTAAGATTACTGATAAGGCACTGGGAATGCCTATTTTACATCCTACAAATTACTTTACACAATGAGAATATTTTCTGTGAGTATCCTATAGAAAGTTTGCTTTTAATGGAACTTTTTTTTTAAATAGTAAATAACCTATGACTGGTTTAAGAACCTAACGTACCACGAAAACTTCTGTGGAAACATTGTTGATATGAATCTGATTTTACAGTATTTTTTTTTTTAATGATGAATAAACATTTAGGTAATATCTTGGTATAAAGCTGCTCACGTCAAAACACGAAAATTTGGTATAGCTTTCTCTACTATTGAAATAAACGATTACTGGCTAATCATAGCATATATTGAACCAGGACTTTTCAATTATAGATAAAGGACGTTTTATCAGTTATATCTTAAACTTGACACTTCATAATCAAAAGGATGTCATTTGAAAAAAACAACAACCTTCTTCTTGGTTACAAGAAGTGAATTCAAAGTAATTTAAAAAAAAAAGATGTACAAAATCATTGGCTGGGTGTTTTGGAGGATACATTTGTTTGCTTGCTTCTTTTTGGATATTCACACAAAGCTACTCAAGGGCTATTTGAAATGCTGTCCCTTATTTTGAATCTATTGACTAAAGAAAAGGTAGCTACTTAACAACAATCAACGCCAACTATTATGTTACTTTTAGGTAACCAAAATAATGGAATTTGACTGTTCCCGTTATAACGCATCTATGCCCCCAAAGTGAGGAACGCTTTTTTTTATTGTTGTTGTTTTGTGATAACGAGACGCGAAATTGGACCCACAGATCCACAGTAACAACTGAGCCACGTTCGGCCCATTAAAGGAGAAAAGTTTTAATAATTTTCTGAAACAATTCGGAGAAATTGATTTAATACGTCATACAAGTTTTCAGAAAAAAAAATAACTACACAATAATTGGGTTTTTGGCTGTTACTCAATACTAGAAATTCTGTGTGGAATCTCTGAAAGCGTGCTAGTCTTAAATTTACTTATTTACTTTTTTTTACCTGCATAATATTATAAGGTTATCATATTTTTTTATATAGTGCATACATAAATATTTAATTTGTAAAATATACAGTAACTATAACTGAGGCTTATCCTGTGCCGAATGTTTCAATGTGATGTACTTGAGAATGTGTATACATAAAGGTGAGAGGCACAAGTGCTAATCTCTTAACAGAACACATGTGCTTATAAACCAACAATCATACTAACTATAAAGAACCACGTTCATCGCAAAATCTAAGTTCATGCTGTAGATGTGGCTTAGAATGAATAGTCGTTCATATTTTTACGTTAAACTTAAGGTTATTTTCACGTCAGAGACAATATGGCTTTCGGGCTGTTTTGTATTATCTCCTCTAATGTAATAAAATCAACGTGGGAGTGATAATACACCCTGTTTCCATTTCATTTCTCAACAAATATATATTTCTTTGTTTACGACACATAAAACCAATATTGTAAATCGTTCCCTTCATGAACACGGTAATTAATATATACAACTACATCTCCTTGTGTAGTTTTTAATAACACAAGTCTGCGAATTTAAACTTCATAAAAGTTGTTTTGGTTTTAATAACGGATTTTTCATAATTCAGCTACGTAGATTTCGAAAATATTAATTTTTTTTCTATCACATAAATAGACACTTTTTTCTATCACGTGAGAATTTTTTTTTACAAATCGGGATGAAAAAAACTCTTACTTAGATCAAAGTATTATTTCGTTGACCATAATGAACATTTTTTATTATTAAGTTTGTTTACAAAAATACAAACTAACTGAAGAAAAGGGAAGAACATTGATGTCAAACGAATATGCTTCCCCATTCATCCTGATTTTTTTCGTGAAATCTACCTTCTTTTAATCTCAAAACTACGTGTTGTGGTCTTTCTTTTATATATTGCGTTGTGACGTTTTGTGAGAAATCTGGACGTGATGGGGAAAGGTGGATATCTTTTTCAGATTCGGCGTACAGGAATTATTGTAGAACGTGTACACATTTCAAGACAATAAAACCATCGCAAGCCTGTGTAATTAATAGTTAATTCCTTGTTTGATATATTATACTCTATGCGAAGGATATTTTTTGTCTGTTTATTTGTTTGCTATTAAACGCAACGCCACACAATGCAATATTTATGCTGTGCCAACAGTGTGTATCAAAACTCTGTTTTTAACGTTACAAGCCTTCAGACTTACTGCTAAGCCACTGATGATTTGTTTGGGTCTTTAAATTGCATGATGGGATCGGCTATACTTTTATAATGAGCCCAAAGCTTAAAGTACTGAGATTATTAAGCAGCATGGCTCCTCAAACCTTGGACAGACTAACCCCCAGTCAATGCCCGGAACTAAAACGTTATATCAAACAAACATGACCCAAAAATCCTGCGAACGTTTAGAATTCAAATTTCGAGTAGACTTGTAGTCCCAGAGAAGCTATAAATAGGTAATCCTGTCACATAATATATATATTCGTTTCATAAACTTTTACGAGTATGCTATGCTAAATTCCCTAATTAAGAATCAAGTAATGTAAAAATAACTTCAGTTTCAAACTGAAACTTAATTAGATTAATAGTAGTCGTTACACGTAGAGGCTTCCAACAAGAACGTTCATTGAGAATTACTGTGAATGCGTAGACAAGAATATATGTGTAATATTCCCTCT